GGAATAGTGCATTAAGGAATTTCAGGAGTTTTTGAGTTAGGGAGATGTCGGACAGGTATAGCTGTTATGTTGTGTTAACAAGTTGCCTGTTACGTTGTCAAAGCTAACAAGATTTTCAGTTATCTCCGTTGATGATAAAGCTAACAAGGTGTCATCTCTGTGTAATGTTGATATGTTGTTAAGCTGACAGTACTTTTATATAGAAGTGCCAGGCTCCTGGCTACCTGTAATGACAGTCTGTTGGAGTCACCTGTACCTGTTAATGTCAGGAGTCGCTGGTCCATTGTCCCCCCCAACAGAGCTCACTCACAACAGATTGACGGGGCCCATAGACCACTGAGCCGTAATTATCCGTCAGCTTTGAAGGACCTCCACTGAAGATATTTCTTTAAAAAGTAATAATAAATTTTTGATTAGATTATTCAGAATTTTGTATGTCCTACTGTGTGCACCGATTAGGACTTAGATGGATTTCATATTTCTAATGTAGGCAATATTTTTCGCTCTGGAAATTTCTGTAGAATAGATAGCTAGGTGTAATGTAACTTAGGTCACTGGAGGACAGGTAAATATGTAAGGATCAGTGTTTGTAAGGTAAAAATATCCCAACTTAGAGCAGGTATACATGTCTGCCTGGTTCTCTTCCAGGAGAGAAATAAGTCTCATCTACCAGACGGCTTGGTCCTCTTCTATGAGAATATATCATTCTCTTCCATGATAAAAATACACTCTTCATTCATGGAAAATTATCATGCATTCTCTTCCATGAAACATTGACATCTCATTCCATGAGAAAACATTGGTTTTGCACGAGATATTGCCTTCTTCCATTGGAGCCTGACTGTCAGCTGAGATATAAAATCTCTTCCATGAGAGATTGTAATAACCTTCTGTCAGGGACTCGCTTTTATTCAGAGATGTACTCTCCACTGAGATTGAGTGACTACTGTGTACATGTATCCGACCCAACAAGATTCCTGATAACTGTTTATCACTATTCCAACTATCTAAGCAATGCCAGTCTTCCTGAATGAGGATATCATTTCATAAATATTATATATATAATCTACCCCATGGTTTGGGCTGGAGTCTGTGTCAGAAGATCAACTCGCTGTAAAACTTGGATCCCCACAAACCCTGCTGTATGACTATAAGCTGCAACTGCAGGTATAATGATCGTTTTTATTCATCGCCGTTAACATTTACTAAATCCGCAGCCTTCCACGTATCATCTTTCATAATTGTGAGACCAGTGAAGGGTATTAAATGGCTAGACACCAAAAAAATACCATTATAATGTTAAAAAAAATTGTGAATGTCTTTTAACCTCTGTTGAGCTTTTTTTGAGACGTGAGAAATCGGATGATGTTAGAGCTAGTTTTACATTAAATGTCTGAGATTGTAAGTTATTAACAGATAATGATAGGAGGTCATCAATTTACTAATGTGAGGTTGATCATGTTACTTCAAAGTTTTTTCAAATTTTGAAGCTGTCGAATATAGACAGCATTTTGTTGTTATAGCTCCGTGAATTACATTTATTTGTTTAGCCCACTTTCTTCTGATGGTTGGCTGTTTAATTTCCTTTTCGTTGTTATCCATCATTAATTCAGTTTCCGATATGCAGTCAGTTGGTGCCTTTCTAAACAATTTTTTACTGGTATATCTCAGAAACAATTTAAGGGATCGTAGCAGAACTGTGTTGCCATAATCCCCATTATGAGCTAAAAACCACAGAGGGCAATCCCAAGCTGGAGAAGCTGCCATGTTAAGTGCTGTTACAATCATTGAGTGGTTTACACCAGGACTAACTCCCTTCCCAATAAATAATAGAATGATGAGGCGGTAGATCATGAAGTGGTTTACAAGGGGACTAACTCCCTTCCTCATCCTCCCCATTCAATAGTAGAATGATGAGACGGTAGATCATGAAGTGGTTTACAAGGCGACCAACCACCTTCCCCATCCTTCCCATTCAATAGTAGAATGATGAGGCGGTAGATCAAGAAGTGGTTTACAAGGCGACTAACCACCTTCCGCATCCTCCCCATTCAATAGTAGAATGATGTATGGGGACTAACTCCCTTCCTCATCCTCCCCATTCAATAGTAGAATGATGTAAGGGGACTAACCACCTTCCCCATCCTCCCCATTCAATTGTAGAATGATGTAAGGGGACTAACCACCTTCACCATCCTCCCCATTAAATAGTAGAATGATGTATGTGGACTAACTCCCTTCTTCATCCTCCCCATTCAATAGTAGAATGATGTATGGGGACTAACCACCTTCCCTATCCTCCCCATTCAATAGTAGAATGATGTTAGGGGACTAACCACCTTCCTCATCCTCCCCATTCAATAGTAGAATGATGTAAGGGGACTAACCACCTTCACCATCCTCCCCATTCAATAGTAGAATGATGTAAGGGGACTAACTCCCTTCCCCATCCTCCCAATTCAACAGTAGAATGATGTATGGGAACTAACCACCTTCCCCATCCTCCCCATTCAATAGTAGAATGATGTAAGGGGACTAACCACCTTCACCATCCTCCACATTCAATAGTAGAATGATGTAAGGGGACTAACCACCTTCACCATCCTCCCCACTCAACAGTAGAATGATGTAAGGGGACTAACCACCTTCACCATCCTCCCCATTCAACAGTAGAATGATGTATGTGGACTAACCACCTTCACCATCCTCCCCATTCAATAGTAGAATGATGTATGGGGACCTACTTCCTTCCTCATACTCCCCATTCAATAGTAGAATGATGTAAGGGGACTAACCACCATCACCATCCTCCACATTCAATACTAGAATGATGTAAGGGGACTAACCACCTTCCCCATCCTCCCCATTCAATAGTAGAATGATGTATGGGGACCTACTTCCTTCCTCATACTCCCCATTAAATAGTAGAATGATGTAAGGGGACTAACCACCATCACCATCCTCCACATTCAATACTAGAATGATGTAAGGGGACTAACCACCTTCCCCATCCTCCCCATTCAATAGTAGAATGATGTATGGGGACTAACTTCCTTCCTCATTCCCCCTATTCGATGGTAGAATGATGAGATGTTTAGTAAAAGTACAAACAGAGATAGGTAATGGGGAAGTTCACCTGTAACTTCAACACTAGGCTGACATCTATCTGTCTAACGGCTTCTACAAGATAACAGGGATGTTCATGTATGATTGTTAATTAAAACCAAACGCTAGGTTATCAGTCACTGCACATGAACCTAAACTGCTAATTTCATCCTGTTCCAAGACAGAAAAAAACCCTGACATATTGAATTGGAGTGAATCATTGTCTCGTGAACGCCACCTTGTTTTCTGTGTATTTCTTTACTTTTCATTCTGGTAAATTTGTATGCTGAGTGTTTCAGTACATTTGTCTTCTCCTCGTTGTAATCTGCGATCATACTGATAGAACTTTGATGCTGCAAAGGTGAAAAACCTCAATGAGCCAATCCTTGTTTTAGGACATTTGTGTACTTATTTGTTTCCTTCTGGTTGTCAGCACGTATGTAAGCTCTTGTTTTAATCAATAATGCCTGTATTAATTACATTCAAAGCGACTATTTTACCTGTGAAACGTAATGCTTTGCTATATTTAGATCTTACTTGTCATGTTGAAATGTTATATATAAACGTTTGAAATGTCAGAGGCCTTCTCAACATTGAATTCTAAATTGAAATGTTGGATGAGCTGGTTATGATAATGGTAACATATGCTAAACGTAAAACAGAATGATTTAACCGAAGAAAGATATGATTTCATTAAGCCTCTGATGTCTGAGAAATTTCTAAAAATATCATCCTTGCTAGGCTGATAAATCATTATATGGACCTCAGTAAAGGTCAATAGTTATATATTTTCATTAGGATCAATTTAAGTTTGCTGTGGTGTAATTTTAATGGAAGATCAACTAATAAACAATTTAACTTGAAAAATAAGAAATAAGACTATTATATTTCAGATTTTTAAACAAAATAAATCTCTGATATCCTTTTTGTTTACCTGCTAATATATTAGAACTTGACCAGTTAATTACTGATGAAAAAGTCCTTCACAGGCTGTCATCGTTTTACAAACACACACCACAAACTAATACTATCCACTTCAGTTTAGGGTTGGGTAAACACTGAAGTGAGTACACAAAGACTGTACGTCTGACATACTACTACGTCTGACATACTACTACGTCTGACATAATACTATGTCTGACATACTACTACGTCTGACATAATACTACGTCTGACATACTACTACGTCTGACATAATACTACGTCTGACATAATACTACGTCTGACATAATACTAGTGTTGGTTTTAAACTGTTGAAAACATTGTTGGTTTTTATGTACTTTTGACAATTGAAAATATATTTGTGGCACATTTTAATTGTACATAGGCCTATAGGGCTACGGTGGCATTCTCGCTTTGAGCTAGAGGAAATTTCCCTTTAGCTCAGTGGTAGAGCGTCCAACTAGGAACCTGGGGGTGGCAGGTTTGATCCTCAGCAGAAGCACACTTCTCTGTTTCCCGTTTCAAATGGTGTCCGTGGCCTTACATGTGGTGACAGGGAGTTAGAACCTGGGTTGTGGTGTTCGAGGGCGAACACATTTATAATAGGGGAGTAGTGTGGCAGATATTAATTGTACACAGGATTACGGTCAACTTCTAGCTTTGCACTAGAGGGAGTTTCCTTTTAGCTCAGTGGTAAAGCCACCGACTAGGAAGTCTGGGATCGTAGGTTCCATCCCCGGAGGAAACACACTACTCTCTTTCCTGTTACAAATGATCAAACTTGACGGTGGTGAACTGTTATGATCTATCAATGTTTTGATGTACTGCTGCCATATTATGTGAAATTTTGTTTCAATGAAATAGTTTGTACCAATTGAACCATGTCAGAACTACATAGATTTCTGTTAAAACAGTGTGATGATAAACAATGTCTCTACTCTTGTATTTTTCAGACTGCCTTTTGGAGATGCATTAATATAACAGTGCCTGGTAAGTCAATAATTAAAACACGTTTGCATTCGTAGATGTAGTCAAACAAAAGGTCTAAGGGCAAGCTTGATATTAAATGCCCTTTCCTCCCCTCCCTTGTCCATGTGAAAATATTGTGTGTGCTCATGTCGTTGGTTTTGACCCCCGGTGACCTCATGGGAAAGGTCTTTGTGTGGCAGTGAGCCCTTGTGACCTTGTAAAATGGTCTTTTGTTTGCAGATTCATTCACTAACTGTTAAAGGGACTGAAAAGGTTTAAACAAGTCTGAAGTAGTCACTAGATAGCCAGAAATGTTCACCACTGCCTTCAACAATCGCAATGTCGCATTTTGCATTTAGATCTTTATAGAAATTACTTTCAATGACGAGCATAGTTCTTTTGAAAAAAGAGCTCATGAATTAAAAAAAAATCCAATTTGACAAAAATGGTAAAAAAATGAATTAAACAATACCATTTTTTTCCTCAAATGAATCAGAAATAAAGTAATTATGACTCCTTACTGCTGTATACCAGGACATTTTTGCCGGAAGAAATAGTTTTCATGAATGTTAATATCCATTTGTATATATTACCCTTCGTGATGGAAATGTTGTGTTATGGTAAGCTGATGGTGAATCACCCTCATTATGTAGGGAACAGGATTAAACTGTGCTCAGTACTGCCCAATATCTATGTGTACTTTAGTTCTCACGAACACAAGCCTTTATTGTATTCCCAAACTACACTCACCTGAAGGTAAAAGTGATCATATTGTCATTGAAATTCTGCGCAATTTTGACTTAGAAATAAATCATGTTCAGAAAATTTAGAAATAAATCATGTGCAGAAAATTTAGAAATAAATCATGGTCAGAAAATTTAGAAATAAATCATGTTCAGAAAATTAGGTCTATGTATCATGAGGAACTATTAAGAACTTGCCGAAATGTTAAACATTAGTTGGGAAACAACAGGGGGGGTGGAGACCCAATGTCCCTGCAAGGAAGTCAGTCCCATAGTAGCGGTAAATTAGCTAAACCTTTTCACCTTATCAGACTGTGACTCTTAGCAACTTGATGACGTCACAGTTATTCTTTATTGTTCTAGTCACATGACCTTTATTGTCATTGTACCATAGTTGCAAACATCATGTTACTGTGCTCTGAAGACGGCCTCCCTTTGGCCGAAACATGTCAGCACTTAGGATGTAAATCAAACATTACATTTTGTACTGGATTCAGTGGTGTTGTTGCTCATCATTTCTATTTTCATTAATTGGGAAAGTTATTTTCATATATATGCAAGGACAACATTGATCGGCAAATTGGAAGCTTAAAGAGATTTTAGAGAAATCTAGTAGTGAGGCGGGTAACTCGGCCATTGGATGGATGTTTCGTGAATTATTCGTCATGTAATAAGGGCAAGAGAAATGTACTGCCAGACTGGGATTCAAACCCAGGACCCTTCAAACTCTGCACAGATGCTGTTCAAATTGAGCTTCCTGGTTTTCGATGATCAGCCCGTCCAATTTCGCTATAGTCGAACTTTGCATCCAAAAAACTGAAATTCAATATTAATCAAACGGTATGATAGCCTTGTATACATAGGCTAGTGTTGCCCTGTGTTACGATTCTATACAAATCAATTTCTGTCTAGTATCTAATGGGAATAATATGTTCTATTCTTATAATAAAAAAATACTCTAGTATAGAATGCAGACATCCTGGGCTCTAGTCTGTCAGTGACATTTAATGTACAGTATAAACGTTAATTGCAGATTATCTGTCTTAAATTAATCCCAAAATTAAGCTTGTTGCAGGGAAGGCAGTTGTACCTGAAACATCAGCTGGTTGCGTTTTGAGCATGGCCTGGTGATCTCGCAGGGTTTCAGTACCAAATCACCCTTCATGGACTGAATGTGTAGTGTTTACATGTATATTAGTGATAATTGTACCATTTGGGACGGGACCGTTTGGCGTTCGGTCACAGATGTATATGACAATCCAGGATTAATTAGATAGAAAAAAATATTCTTTTGTTGCCATCGTGTCAAGACGTTAAAGGAAGTTATTTAAATTTGAACTGCAGACAAATATTTTTTTTATTGTACTGGCGTGTATGTAAGTCTTGTTAATAAAGGGATATACGAGAAAGTCATAATGGGTTTCCTCAGGAATTTTAATTCAGTCGTAATTGGAAGTGTAAGCTAACAAGTCGCCGGGGAATAGAGTGGGTTAAGTCTGTAGTCTGATTGTGTTTGTACGGGAACCTGAACTTAATGGATTGTCAGTTAGACAAACATGGACAGTAAACACCCGTGGACTGGCAGCTATTGTGTTAGGACCAAGCACTGTTTATTTTTGGTTTTCATAGGTCAGTCAGTCTGAATCTACTTGACAGTTGTTTTGGGTTTCTGGAGAGGGTTCACTCTATAATTGGGTTGTGTTTTTCATGGGTTACTAGTGAGACAGGGCTCTATAATTTGGTTGTGTAGGGTTACTAATGAGACAGGGCTTTATAATTCAGTTGTGAAGGGTTACTAATGAGACAGGGCTCTATAATTCAGTTGTGTAGGGTTACTAGTGAGACAGGGCTCTATAATTTGGTTGTGTAGGGTTACTAGTGAGGCGGGGCTCTACAATTTGGTTGTGTAGGGTTACTAGTGAGGTAGGGCTCTATAATTTGGTTGTGTAGGGTTACTAGTGAGGCGGGGCTCTATAATTTGGTTGTGTAGGGTTACTAGTGAGGTAGGGCTCTAAAATTCAGTTGTGTAGGGTTACTAGTGAGACAGGGCTCTATAATTTGGTTGTGTAGGGTTACTATTGAGACAGGGCTTTATAATTTGGTTGTGTAGGGTTACTAGTGAGACAGGGCTCTATAATTTGGTTGTGTAGGGTTACTAGTGAGGTAGGGCTCTATAATTCAGTTGTGTAGGGTTACTAGTGAGACAGGGCTCTATAATTCAGTTGTGTAGGGTTACTAGTGAGGTAGGGCTCTATAATTTGGTTGTGTAGGGTTACTAGTGAGGTACTAACTAGACTGTAGGTTCTATGGGGATGTCAGTGTAGGTACTAACTAGACTAGGTTCTATGGGAATGTCAGTGTAGGTACAAACTAGACTGTAGGTTCTATGGGGATGTCAGTGTAGGCACTAACTAGACTGTATGTTCTATTGGGATGTCAGTGTAGGTACTAACTAGACTGTAGGTTCTAAGGGGATGTCAGTGTAGGTACTAACTAGACTAGGTTCTATGGGAATGTCAGTGTAGGCACTAACTAGACTGTATGTTCTATTGGGATGTCAGTGTAGGTACTAACTGGACTGTAGGTTCTAAGGGGATGTCAGTGTAGGTACTAACTAGACTAGGTTCTATGGGAATGTCAGTGTAGGTACAAACTAGACTGTAGGTTCTATGGGGATGTCAGTGTAGGTACTAACTAGACTGTAGGTTCTATGGGAATGTCAGTGTAGGTACTAACTAGACTGTAGGTTCTATGGGGATTTCAGTGTAGGTACTAACTGGACTGTAGGTTCTATGGGGATGTCAGTGTAGGTACTAACTAGACTGTAGGTTCTATGGGGATGTCAGTGTACTAACTAGACCGTAGGTTCTATGGGAATGTCAGTGTAGGTACTAACTAGACTGTAGGTTCTATTGGGATGTCAGTGTAGGTACTAACTGGACTGTAGGTTCTATTGGGATGTCAGTGTAGGTACTAACTAGACTGTTGGTTCTATGGGGATGTCAGTGTAGGTACTAAGTAGACTGTTGGTTCTATGGGAATGTCAGTGTAGGGACTAACTAGACTGTAGGTTCTATGGGGATTTCAGTGTAGGTGCTATCTGGACTGTAGGTTCTATGGGGATGTCAGTGTAGGTTCTAACTAGACTGTAGGTTCTATGGGAATGTCAGTTTAGGTACTAACTAGACTGTAGGTTCTATGAGGATGTCAGTGTAGGTACTAACTAGACTAGGGTCTATGGGGATGTCAGTGTAGGTACTAACTAGACTAGGTTTTATGGGGATGTCAGTGTAGGTACTAACTAGACTGTTGGTTCTATGGGAATGTCAGTGTAGGTACTAACTAGACTGTAGGTTCTATGGGGATGTCAGTGTAGGGACTAACTAGACTAGGTTTTATGGGGATGTCAGTGTAGGTACTAACTAAACTGTAGGATCTATGGGGATTTTAGTGTAGGTACCAACTATACTGTAGGTTCTATGGGGATGTCAGTGTAGGTTCTAACTAGACTAGGTTCTATGGGGATGTCAGTTTAGGTACTAACTAGACTAGGTTCTATGGGGATGTCAGTGTAGGTACTAACTAAACTGTAGGTTCTATGGGGATTTTAGTGTAGGTACCTACTAGACTGTAGGTTCTATGGGGATGTCAGTGTAGGTACTAACTAGACTNTATGGGGATGTCAGTGTAGGTACTATCTAGACTGTAGGTTCTATGGGGATGTCAGTGTAGGTACTAACTAGACTGTAGGTTCTATGGGAATGTCAGTGTAGGTACTAACTGGACTGTAAGTTCTATGGGGATATCAGTGTAGGTACTAACTCGACTGTAGGTTCTATGGGGATGTCAGTGTACTAACTAGACTGTAGGTTCTATGGGGATGTCAGTGTAGGTACTAACTAGACTGTAGGTTCTATGGGGATGTCAGTGCAGGTACTAACTAGACTAGGTTCTATGGGGATGTAAGTGTAGGTACTAACTAAACTGTAGGTTCTATGGGGATGTCAGTGTAGGTACCTACTAGACTGTAGGTTCTATGGGGATGTCAGTGTAGGTACTAACTAGACTAGGTTTTATGGGGATTTCAGTGTAGGTACTAACTAAACTGTAGGTTCTATGGGGATGTCATTGTACTAACTAGACAGAGATGATGATGACAATCATGTAGGATCGCTCCATGTTAGTTAGCAGTCATATGAAAAAGGGTGAGGTGGAAGACAAAGAGTAGAAACTTAGAAAAAAATGTGAAGTGTTGCAAAGGGGCAGTAGATTAAGTCT